TGGTTGTAACAAAAACATATAACCTAAATTAGATGTTTTTTTCTTATCAAATATGCCAAATATAATAATATGTAAATTTTATTTTCATTTAATCCTTAAGTTTAAAAGAGACACTTCATGCGATATAAAAGGTTCTGTACTAGTGGAGTATCTTAATCTGTTTCACTTCGATAAAAAACAGTTTAACAGCATCCTCAAGCTTGCTTAGATTGAAGAAGAAATTAAATGAAATCTCTGATCCTTACCAGCACTTTGCTGGTTTCTAGGCCAGTCTACCTGGATGTTACGTAGATAAACTGAATTTCTGGAAGTTTTCTATGGATAAGCTGTAAGCTCTTAAAACAATGCTGTTCACGTGATAGGTAAAGTTATGAAAAACGTAAAACCCGGGTAGTGCTCCTGGAGGAAAAATTACCAAAATACTTACTTTTTGTGCTTTCTCAGGTAGTCCTCGCCTGTAAAAATTTTCGCTTGATTATCTTTGAAATTGAGCTGAGCTACCTGCAATTTGTACTGTATTGAATACAGTGCTGATATCGTCTTTCTTCTGAGTCTATCCCAGTGTTTTGCAGGTCAGTAACAAATCCATCACTGCTTCAAATTCTGGAAAATCGGGGCAATGGAAAGACATAGCAATTTTTAAGTGATGATATATGTCAATACTACTTTATTCAATTTTACATGTGAGTAAACTGAGGCACACACCAATCACTGAATCTTAGCAAGCAGACCAAAACTGGATTCGGGGAGTATGACTTCTACTACTCTTCAACACGAAATCCATTTAACATTACCTTGACGTACATATTCCTTTGCAGCACAAGCTTTGACAGTTTTCAGATGCACTTATGTATGAAAATGGCATATGGAGTCAACCTGCACTGGCAGAGAAACAAATTTAAATTCCAGCCCAGTATTATCAAAATATGTGAGAATATTTTTACCGCATCTAGTCTAGCTCATGATCCTGTTACCTTTCATCTTCCGTATCTAGAATCCTTTTACTCTAAACCCCAAACTTCTCCCTCCTTAAGGCACAATTCCATTTACATAGATAAAAGCTAATGCGATCAACCAAAACCAGTCTAAATCCAACTTTTTAAGTCTTGTTACAAGTTAACACTGGATAACATTTCAGATAACCCGAAATCTCTACCTAGGCCTATACAATCAGCCTCACAGATTGACACTAGCACTGAAAAAGTGAATGCACACACCTCACTGCTCTTCCTATACTTATTTAATACAAATTGATGTCACAACCTGTATCTCAAATATCTCCTCTCATGAATTATTCCCCTTTATTAATTCCACACATTTCATCCTAAGCAGTACAAGTCAGCAGAGGAAGCCTTATCAAAGCCTCCTTGAATGATAGCACTTCGCAGTCTCTCTGTCATCATTGAGCCAATGTATGACTTAAGCAATATATATGGAATTTATAATGGCTTTCTTTAACGGTCAGATGGAGAAACAGAAAATGGCACAGCCTACATGCTGTTACTGTCACATTACGATTAAAGCTTTATACTCCTGTGCTTTAGAATCCTGGGTATCTCCTGAAGCAAGTATAAAATTATTTCGCACCTCCACGGGCTTTTAATTATTTTTCAGAAAACTATTCCACCAGTTCTTCAACATTCGTGCAAAAAGTTAGATGAAAAGACATCCTGATTTACAGTCTTGTATTTTAAAGGGATACCGACAATTTCAAAACCGTATTTCTACCTGACAATACCCTTTCGCTGATCTCTTTACCAGTACTGACAAAGGCTACTGTGAACAACAGACTGCAAGAGAACTGCCCCCCCCCCTTCACTGCTTTGGCTCTTTCGTGCTGTTTCTAACATTTGTGCCCAGTTGGCTTCAGTACTTCATGAAGCGAAGATTTTTTTTTCTAATGGCAAAATATAGCAGAGGCATAAAAAGCTACTGCTAGGCCTCAAGAAAGTTGTGTATTTTAACTTTTTTAGCTTAAGTTGGCTACACATTTCAAGCCAATTGTTTTGCCCTTTAAGGCAAATTTAGTTTCTTTTAGGCTTGGCTAGTATTTGCCAAATCCAAGATTCTGACATAGCTTCAGCTTAAGAACACTTCTTAAGAACCAGGCCCAAAAGCTGTTTGAATCACAACTTTAACCACCTAGATCTACACCCAAATATTTATGGTGAATCAAGACTGGCTTCTATTGCACTAATCACTACCCTAGCTCAGTCCCAAAATCAATTATTTGTTTAGAAAGAGGTGTCAGCTGTTATCATACTATCCATCAGCTGTGTCAAGCCCCCAGTAATGAGCACGGTATTACTCACTATTCTGTTACTAATACTGGTTTCTATGGCTCATTAAAATTACTTTTTTAGGTTCATGCCATGCCTTTCTGTATTTGCTCCGACTATAATTCAGCTTTCTTACTATTACCATCCACTGAAAATCTGCTGGAAAGCCAGCTAATAATTATTTAGTTATAAGTGATTGGGAAGGGAGACTTAAGCCTCTGCTGTGACTAACTGGGTGGCCTTAGTTTGTGGCTAGTGTTATCGGGCCATGATATATCGATGTACTATGGGCAACAGCTCTGGGTGGGCAGAAACATACAGCAGATGATCTCACAGATCTTTTCTGTCCCATTGTGTCATAACTCAGCAGTACGCAGTTATTGTGCAGGACAGGAGCAACACAGGCAGAGCAGCCCAGTACCTAACAAGTCTGCATGTCACATCTCATTTACGAGAAGGGCAACGTTTTCAAAAGGCTATCCTGCCTTTGAAGAGGTTTGGAAAGAACAGTCTCATCCTCTAAAAAATTCTGGGTTGAATCCAGCCGGGAAAGAGAGCAACCCGACAGAAATAGAAGAAAAAATACTCTCATCCAGCACTTTTTTCCTGTAAACTCCAAAGTTCTAAACAGAAATACAAACCAACAACAATTTTCTATAGGCATAAGTGGTAATTCGAGGCTTTCTTTTAGCTATCGCTAACTTCACAACAATTTGAAATCAGCATCAGTATTATAAACTTAAGACACTTGTTAGGATACCTGTGTTCTATTTGTTATCATTATCGTCCAAAAAAACTCCAAGAATAAGTAGGGTGTGGTGTCACTATCTAGCCACAGAACAAACAAGGAATAGTGAAGATTTCATAGCTCCTCCCTGGAAAGAGCTATTGTCCTGAAAACATAGAATTTAAAAAAAAAAAGGCAAAAAACACAAGTAACAGACTTTTGAGAGAAATTCTAGTGACAAAGAAATTGGGTTTTTTTCCTAAATGAAGCAACAGATTTTCAAGATTTTTGTTTTATTTGAAATAAGTAACAGCTTCAGTAGCACTGGCTTCGGGGCGGGGGGCAGGTAGTAGTATCGCGAGGAACCTGGGGAAAAAAAATACAATTATTGACCCCTGAGGTCGCCCTAGTCCGGTAACACCGACCTTCCCCTACTTTAATCAGCCAGACTTCCTCGTT